CTAATATCGGTCCATGTGTCAGACCTGTTGATTGATTGGTCCTTTTCTATTTTGGGTAAAGCAGGTAACTTAAAATGTCAGATAACTACAGCTAAACTATTTTCTCACAGAGGCCAAGGTGACTTCTTTATCAGTAAAATATCGGTTGCATCCTTAACTTATCAATCATTTTTCTTCTGTTTGCACATGAGGGTTGGGTCTGTTTAAAGAACGACCAGTCTGTCTAGGAGTGACTACACCTTCTGGCCCAATATTGGGAAGTTTAGCTGTTGGTTTTATTCATTTTGCACTGAAGTGATCTATCTTCATGTTCGGACCTCACCTCTATGCCCAGCTTCTGTTTGAGGACCAGGGCGGCACACAGGTACCCAGCACGCCCCACAAACAGCTCATCCGAGCCGCATTCCAGAAAATTGATGGGCGCACACACCTCCCACAGGTTGCGAAATTTGGTCAACGGCTTAACGAAGTCGGCCAAGCCCATGGACTTGTATATCATAGCGGCCACAGCGTAGATGCCCGCTCCGCCGAGCAGAAAGGCTGCACGCATGTTTTCATCCGGCTCCGCATCCACGTATTTAACCGACACGTCGATGATCTGCTTGGCCGTCTTCAGGTAGACGTCCCGGTGCTCGGAGAACAGCGGGCACTCGGTGACATGATACAGCATGTAAGCCACCCCGGCCGGGCCATCGTACAGCCCTCCGTCGCAGTCGCTGGTGTCGATGGGAACCTTTTTCAGGATTTTATCTACGGTGGCGATCACGGCGGGCACGATGGCCTCAGCGCTCTGACCCGGGAGCAGCGCACCTTTGTAGTCAGTGAAGCGGTTTGCAAAGCAGCGGGTGTTTTCCATCACCGACGACAAGACGCCAGAAACAGCACAACGTTCAGGCCCACGCCTCTAATGCAGATCTGTGTTCTCTGGTCAAGGTATCCAAGAGTGATGACAGAGGAAAACACTTTGATTGCGCATCCAATCCCATCAGCCCTCAGCTGATTGGATGTCAACAGTGATGGTTCAGCCTCATATTGGCTAATGTGACCTGCAGTCACTCTGCTTAGAATAACCTGCATGATCCAAGTTGTAGTGTCTGGGCGTAAGAACAGGTGAACGAAAAATGCGCAGTAAATGCACAGTATGAAAGCACTGCAGAAGTTAAAGTTCATTCAAACACTGAAAGTGTCTGGCCTATATCATCGTAAATCTCGGTGCCTGCAGTTCACATGTCGAAGTGTCCTTGAGCAAGACACTGAAAGATTGGGAACCACTGGTTTAATATTTGATAATGCATTGTATTCTACAAATGTGTCAAATAGACACAGCTTTATTGGTATCTTAAATGATCACTAGGCAGAAAGATTGGGAACCACTGGTTTAATATTTGATAATGCATTGTATTCTACAAATGTGTCAAATGTTTTTCCAGTTTTTTTAAATTTTGTTGTGGTTCTTTTTTATGTTTTTCATACTTTGTTACTACAACAACGACCAATTTATCCAGGAAACGCACAAAGTGTCAACTCATTCTTCTCTCTTCGGCTTTCAGCTCATGGTCCTGAGCAGCAGGCGGCGACAGAGACCTGCTGCTCAGCCCACCGCTGTCCTTGGTGCTGAAGGAATCCTGCAGCTACATAAATACACAAAAATGTATAGCTTTCAACTATGGTGAAATATTTGGATGTAGGTCTAAACCTTACTAAGCTGTGAGGGCTAAAAGTTAGGCAGAACACTTTTAGTTTAGACTGCATGACTGAATCGTAGCGGAATGTGCAGCCCAGACATTTCTTTTTGCTCCTCAGGCTTTGTTCTGGCGCTGAAATAAATGATACTGCACTAAAGTGCAAAGTCTTAGCTGTAATTTCAGTAGATTTACACCAAGAAATTATGTATAAGGTATATTTTAACACCTTTGAACATAAAGTGACCAAGTACCACAGTTCAAATTTGGTCTCCTGGCTACTGTTCCCGCTGGGTGTTGTTCTAGTATTTATTATTTTATGCACAAAAAAGTTCACACTTGCCTCGGAGTTGCTTAAGGAAAATAAAAAAACAAAAACAAACCAGAGAGGCCAGGCTGAGGTTTATAAAAGTGTGCAAAAAGAAACCGGTAGCGTGACTTTGATGGACAGATGCAAGAGCAAAGTGCACCATGTCATCTGTCAGAGCTGGTTCTGTTACGGCTTGGGCTTGTTTATCTGCCACACTGGGATTGACTGATTCACAACAGGATGAAAGCAGAAGTAAGAGCACTGTGTACAGCC